GACACTTTGGCATTACTATAATTCTTTAGGACTTGCACAAGAGGATGAAGGTCGTTGCTGGTTTTCCTTCCTATTTTACAATTCTGAATGTAACTTCTCATTTGTAGATATTGGAAGAAGTGAGAGTGTAGTAAATGGTGAAGTTGCCTTAGAGATCCAGACAACATTACTCCATTTTTTTTATTAAGACATTGTCCAAATATGGTCAATCCCTTTCGTGCCCATATATGAAAAGCTGTTTCATGTTTATTCGGGAACCTGAAACCATTTGCAAAAAGGTGGTCTAAGTGGTCAAGTTACACTCATATGGGAAAAGAACAATGATAGAAGCTATTGGAATGTATTTCTCTATATTAGGTCTGATCGTCATATAGAGGAGCACTTTTTTCTTTTACTCTTTTAGTATTTGCACCTTGAAATACAGCAGGCAGAAGTTTGAATATGAAAAGGGATCAAAGATATTTTTCTTTGATTTCAAAATTACAGTAACATACTTTATACATTCAGGGCGTGTTCACACCAGGATAGCCTTGGTTCGATTAGGCAGGGAATGGCGAAAAATTTCACACCTTCATTTGGTTTGGTTCACTTTCACACTGCACTTTTTAAAGCGGACCAAACTGCCTGGACAACGTCACGCAGTCACAACAGCTGCTCGTTTGTGGGGTTGTATTGCCCGAAACGACCACTGACCAGGAAGAATAAAAGCACTAGGAAGAAGAAAACCCAGCTCATCGATTGGCCAGTACCGAAAACGGAAATCCATCCCCTAAAACCGGCTTGGTCACCACAAAAACAATGAAGCAACACCAAATTTATGCAGTCTTGGAGTTTCTGTTTTTACTTTTCTTTTTTTTACCTCTGCTTCTCCTGGTACACGTGCTGTTGGCTTTGTTTGTTTGTTTGTTTTTTAAACCCAAATGCACTGTGCTCTACATCACTTCCTCTCTTTGGTTCACTTCCTCTCTTTGGTTCGCTGGATAGTCCGTTTGTATTTCCCACTGTAAGTGAACCGCACCAGGATTCAATTGCAAGTGATCCGAGACCCCCAGGGTTCGCTCGTTTGGTCCGCACCAGAGTTTGAGCACTTCAAACAAAACTGAACTATCCATGGAAGCAGACCGACTACACAATCAACTAATTATTGCAGCTGTAGCTCCAAGTTCCTTTTCAAGTTATTGCATGTTGCATTGTGAAAACAATGGCAATAGTCACAAAGACAGTTGGACTGCTTTTCGTTTCCCTCAGAGCCTAGCAACTACCAACAACACAGGACACACTGGACTTTGTTTTCCAGTTACTTTGGTTGTTCCACTGTCTGCCGTTTACGCTACTGGGGATAGTAACTGTAAACAACTTAAATTGGTACTCTTTGGTAACTGTGGATAGCCACCAAAAGCTACGGGGTAAAACAAAGGCATGGTCCTCTTCCTGTTTTCTTTGCGAAGTGGTTGACGCACTTCTTTTGTGCCGTAAATTGAGCCTTCATTTTTCTAGGAGATCGTACCCATTGGCAGACAGATCTGCATAATGAAAGCGAGGCTTAAAGGGAACCAACAGAAACACTGATGGTGTCATTATTCTCTCACCACATTTACTTTATAATGAAAAGTTAAAGCAAAAAATGTGTCTATTTCCATTTTAATTAGAAACCAAGGAACAGACTAAGTACATTTGGAAGTTAAAGAGTAATTATTTGTACAGAAATGAAGTTTAATATTGATATCTGTTCAGATTACTAGATTAAAGGTCTAAGGAGGTCGACAGGTGTGTTGGCTAACATGTTCCATGCCTTGACTTTGGTCCACGCTGACTTTCTCCAGGAAAGTCAAGTGTCCAGACTTCAGACTCTGTCACCCGTTACAACATAGACACACAAACTGCCAGGCTGCATGTCAAGAGCCCAGTCGGCCGGTAACGCTCTGTAGACGCATTTGTTTGTAAAATGCAGAAGTTATTAACAGGGAGGGAACAACGTGAGCTTATTGTCCCTTTCCACTCATTGTTTCACTCTTATTTCCTCCGCCTAACTCCGTCACAGCGTAGCCCTGTGATGTGTGTTTGCACTGTTCCTTAACTGTGGTTTCTTTAAGTCAGTTGAAACAGGTTGAGTTCCTGGAGCCCGGCCCTCGTCCTCCACTGTGTCAATATTCACTGGCAGTGCTGAGCTCTTTGTGGCCAACCTGCAGCACTGCCCTGTGTTTACTGACTTTAGCTTGTGATATATTTATGACTTCAGCGGACTGAAATTTTCTGATAGAGGTTATTTGGTGTAGGCTGATTAGGGTCAGACAGATATTTCTGGCTGATGCATCATGCTGAGCTGCTAACCAGGAAGCAATTTCATCAGTGTTTGTTCACGGTCTAAATGCTATTCTCCACTCTGACAAGAAATACATGACCAGGGAATCACTCAGTATTTTTAGAAATTAGTCAGATTCAATCACAAATATTGGCGTTATTGGCCTATAAATACTCAGACTTTCTTATAAGTGGATCATAGCAGTCTTGATCATTTTAAACAATATTATTTGTAGCTACATTTTCAAGACTTGGGGCTGGGTATCAAATCTCAGTACTGCATCAATTTGTCCCATAGTGTCAAAAACTATCAAGTTTGGCATTGAAGTTTGGTCAGACTCTTAGTTTTACTTGTTTTTTGTCTTTCTCTTGTTCTTTGATTATTTGATTTTCTTGTTTAAATGATAATTTTGTCTATTTCTCACTCTATTTTAATGGGCAAAGTTCTTGCTCAGTGTTGAGATTATTAAACTAATAGTTAATCTTGTAAAAGACAGTTTGTTGCTCACTTGTTGAGAGCGATATGAGAAGATTGACACTGATCTCGTGCCTGTACTGTGAACACGAAGCTACAGCTGGTTAGCTTATCTTAACACTGGAAACGGTGATACATTCAGCCTGGCTCTGTGGATGGGTAATAAGATTCACCAGCACTTCCAAAGCTCACTGATTAACACTTGACATCTTGTTTGTTTAGTCTAAATATAAACCAACGAGTAAAAACATCAGTAAAAAAAAACAGGCTGTAGTTTTATTCATAGTTATGTCCCCAAAAAATGTGGATTCAGGACAACCCAAGTTAATATGCGACAGCAGATGTTACTAACGTGAGGTCTGCTGTGGTGAAACTAGAATTATCTAAAGATGACTATTAAAAGTTCATTTTAGATACTTTGTGCATTCTTACCATGTTGTTTCATAAAGGCTGTATAAATGTGGAAAATACAGTGAGAAATACCACTTCATTACCAAAGTTGGAATTCAAATTTAAAAAAGCAATGTAGGCTACAGGTAACAAAAGTGAAATGAAACAATTGTCAAATTGACAATCAAAATATTCCCTTTTTTTGCAGCCGTGCGTACTTTGATTAACACGCCCAAACATGTCATTTATTACATAAAATATAGAACGACTGGAGTTGATTGTGCCATTTTGCGTCTTTGCATAAAAATAATGTTCTTTTATTTCTAAGTTTTCACTGGTGTCAGACTTATTCGACTGTGTGAACACTGCTTCCCTCTTTCATTCCTCCAGATACCCTCTTGAAAAGGTTTGGGTTGCCATATTTGCACACATCCAAAAACCTGTTGATACCAAAATCTTGATTAAGAGTCAATCTTGGTATGTTTCTCCTCCTGAACAGAAATGTTGGCTTTTCTTTTGGGCCTGCATCTCTACCCCACAGCTTTACAAACTGTTGGCTAGTTGGTTTGTGTATGACGTATCCATGACAACACAGAGCTGCAAGACACCATGTGTCGCAAACTGTGGTAAAAACCCTACACAAGATGCATATTCTGAATGAGCTGTAGACATATCCAAAGAATGCTATTAACATCCATATAATATTGGCATATCCCACATGTCTCACTGAAAATTCTACATTTGGAAAAAGGGCTATTTCGGAAAATCCAAATGGATATGGTGTTTACATGACCCGTGTCAAATTCAGATTATCGTCATAGTCGGAATAATGGTGGAATATTAGTGTGCATGTCAGTGTAGCCTGAGAGTCACTGGTTGCTAAAGCTCACTCTCCTGTCCATTCATATTGAAAATCATGAACATGAAATCCAATTAGTATGAATGTAGGAAAATAATTGTTAAATTAATGCAAGATAGGCATGTCGTTTGTTTTTGTGAACGGCCCAATTGTGCGTCAGTTGAAATGTTGCTAACGTAAGGTTCTCCTTTCCTCTTGTAAAGGATGGTCCAGTGTATCCTGTGCTAAAGGAGATAAAAAAGGAAGCACTAAAGCACCTTTCCTTGGCATTTCAATAATTCGACCAGCTCTTATCATGAATAGTTCAGGGTTATTTCACTCATCTCTACTGAAATTCAGGTTTTGCATTGACTCCAGTATCAAAACTGTGATTAATATCTAGCCTTACAATGGAAATAGGGCGTTCACAAAGCATCAAAGACAGAAACCGTCAGGCTCACATGCTGTCTGATGTTTACTGGCAGGGCTGTGAATGAGTTTTAAACACAGTTGGTTTAGAGTCACGTTTTGGCTTCAGGCTGATTTGTTTGACAGGATGTTTGTGTAATTGTTACCAATGTAGGGTTCTGCGTATTTATCTGGGCTAACCACTGAAGATAAAACTGCAACACGGCCGTTATCAGTTTTTCGGTAAATGTAAGTTTGTTTGTAGAGCACCCACCTTTCAACACCCAGGCGATTTAAGTGCTTTACATAAAACCTACAAGGCATTAAAAGAAGATATTCAGGAAACACAGGGTGATTAAAAAGCATTTAAACGAGATGTAAAAGAAACACAAGGTGATTTTAAAAAGACGTGTCAATAGGATTTAAGAAGTTCACCCTGTTAAACACTTGAGTATTTGAATGAACGTCCAATGACATGCCTTCTACTTTGAGCCTCAGAAAAACATGTAACACCCTTCACACGTTCTCCCTGGTTAGCTGTAAACTCCTTGCACCACTCTGATACAGCCTTTACTTTTATTCTGTTAGACGTGTGATCAAGATGACGATGAGGTGGAGATCGCTGTGGATAACGCAGCCTTCATGGACGAGTTCTTCTGTCAGGTCAGTGGTTCGATCAGTGTGTGTGGGCCATATGTACGTCTTCACTTATTATTGTGAGGGCGTCATTTGCGTATGTTTGAGATTCATGGTGTGTTTGTTTGTTTCAGATCGAGGACATCAGGAACAGTATTGATAAAATCGATGAGAACGTGGCTGAAGTCAAAAAGCTTTTCTCAGTCATTCTGTCTGCTCCCACATCAGATCAGAGTAAGATACAAGCTTTACTTCCTGTACCTGCCATTTTGTCTCTTGTCTGTAGATTCATTCACCCCCATTACCATTTAGGCTGTTGGCACCATTAGCGGCTAGCCGCTGGCTCAGCCTCCTCTATGTTGAGAGCCGTGTGCAGACAGTCCTGGCTCAGGCTCTGACTACTCATAGATGTGCTCTGAATGTCGTGTAGAGCTCTGTTAAAGCTGTAGTTCATAACATGTCACTCACTGTCCATGTGCGGCCAAACTAGGCAGCGTTGGTCAAATATGAATCAAGATTCTGTAACTGCATTGCCTATTTCTCACCTCAGATGTTTTCAGAAACATATTTTAGCACAGTATTTTACTGTAAAATGAGAAACTTGGGTCTGGTTGGTGGGCGGTACTCAGTCGACTGCTTCCAACATGGCGACCGAGTCACAGACTTTCTCATTTCACAGCTAAACAGTGCACTAAAATATGATCAGCGCTATCTAGTTTGACAGTTTGAGCGAAGTTCACAAGCAGTGATTGACAGCTGCATTAGAGACTCCTCGGATCTGATTGTTTGTTTTTGGTGCTCCGAGGTCGATTCTAGCGAATGCCATTAGAAGCAGTAGGAAGATGAGAAGGGCCGTGTTTTTTACACCGACTATCTGTCTCTTTCAGCAAATATGACAAAGTTATTTTAATTAAAGTTACCAACTGTAGCTTTACAGCAACATTTTAAAAATATGTCAATTAATGCAGCCTCACTGGTTTGAATATTTCAGAGAATTAAGGGATAGCATTTTTAAAGATGGCAGATGTGTCACGGGCATCATGTAAATGTTGAAACCTGATTTGACGAAATTATCAGTTTATTAGAACTTACATCAGGTGCGGTTGTCTCACTCCATTGCTAATGTTTTCAGCCGTTTATTGCTACATGTCTCTTCCTTCCCAGAAACACAGGATGACCTGGAGGCAATTACCAATGACATCAAGAAGATGGCAAACAATGCAAGAAACAAACTTAAGAGTGAGTCTGACTAACGCTGCCACACACAGTGTGGATGTTTGATGGATTCGAAATGTTGCCAAGGAATCAAACAGTGTGCTGTGATGTTGACTTAAAGCTGATATCATAAATCAATAATTTCCTCCCAGCCATCGAGAGGAATCTGGAGTCAGAGGAGCAGGAGAGGGTGTCGGCTGACATGCGGATACGTAAATCACAGGTAAATGACACCCCTCTGAAGTTTGTTCTGCTTTTTTCTCATATTCAAATTCAACAGGCTCATTGGCAGTGTCCATATTCACATACAGGACTGCCAGAGCACTGAATAAACGCTAAAAATTAATATATACATTCAGAACATTCTGTGCTAATGATTTTTTTCTTGTCGTCTCCCAGCATGCAGTGCTGTCCAGGAAGTTTGTGGAGGTAATGACGAAGTATAACGAAGCCCAGGTGGACTTCAGGGAGAGGAGTAAAGGACGCATCCAGAGACAACTAGAGATCAGTGAGTTACGGCCATAAAGTCTTGTGATGGTCCCACAATCTTCTTTGTCATTAACTGTTTTCTTTTCCTTTCCAGCTGGAAAAGCAACAACAGATGACGAATTGGAGGAGATGTTGGAGAGTGGCAACGCTGCTGTGTTTACTGCAGGGGTAAGTGTGTGTGTGTGCACATGCATGTCTACCATTTTTAACAGTGCCCTAACACCCACTGTGCCTTGGCACCGATAGTGATGTGGCTGAAGTGAGAAAAAAGTTGTCAGTTGCTCAGTAAAACTCCAAACTCCTTGTGTCAACTGGTTAAAGATTAGCTGTGCTTGTGATCTGTCCTGTTGGACTCAAAGTCAGTTTGCTCTTTTGTGCCTTCTTGAGTGCTCCAAACCTCCTCTCACACACTTACTCACATCCAGTGGGCAAAGACTACATTTTTTAAACAGTTTGAAACAGCACAGTCCAGCTGGTGACAAGCCTCTCTTTAAGTACAGTTTGGGAAGAATTTCTTGCACAAGGATACACGGCTCAATTTGACAGACCTGAGTAAACCTTACCATAAACTTAGAATAGAAGGGGTAACTCATTTTGTGTGTGTTGTGCACACACTAGTGAAGAGTCATAATGTGCCTGGTGGAACTGGGTGATTGCTTGGCCTCTGGTATTTCTCGTGAATTGCTCATTCAAATAAGGTCACACTCGACACTGTGCTTCCTCTGGTCCTGAGTAATACATCTGCCATGACATAGTTGAGTCAACTAGCAGTGCTAGAGTATACTTGTCATTTTGGTGCAAAAGCTCACAGCAACATTTTATGGCCTCAGTTAAGTCAGAGCCCGATTATTTCCAGGAGCGTTGATTCCAAAAGTTGCATCACTGATGCTTGAAATGTTTGAGTTTGCTACAGTGTAACGTCTCCAGTCTCTCCTTATCCATCTATTCTTGAATGTAGCGAGTGATGGAGAATGAGCTGTACCCAGCATGTTGTTCAGCAGTGTAACACTTAAAAGGGGTCCCCTCTCAAAAACACTACACAATGTGTACGTAAGGCACTACTAATAAATATGTCCTGTAGTTTTAAGAACTTGCAGTCGAAACTGTACTTCCTAGGGTCCTCAGAAATACACCTGTTAGTGTTAAGTCGATTGGTTGAACAGTTGTCAGACAGACAGGGAGTCAAAACTGCACAGCACACAATGACAGTAGCACAGTGATACAACATTAAGTAGTTATGACTTCATGTACATTGTCCTAGAGAATTGAATTTACACATTTATACATTTAATTTGTTTTTGTTTTCTGAGGTGCGATCCCACAGGAACATGGGCGTAGCCCTATTGTATACGACAAACGGGAGTTCCATGTGTTATTCAAGGACACTTTGACATGTTGACAAGAGGAGACAGGAATCGAACTGCCACCCCCGCAATCATTGAACCACAGCTGACCCATATATCAAAATTTTTTCTAGGCCATTTTCAGTTTCTCCTGTCTTTGTGAGCTGCCTTTTTAAATAAGATGCAAAGTAAACCAGATCATGGCCAGTTTCTATTAAAAATTGTGGCACGCAGTTTCTAGAAAAGGCTTTAAAAAAAGAAGCCAGAATTTGAAAATACGGCCCTCTTCCTGCAGCTCTCCTCTTTCTGTCCCAAGCTTAAGTGCTGTATCGTAGGCATCTTGACTTGCCTGAGTTTCACTTCTCATCCAAGAAGCTTCTTCAGGTCTAATGGACTGGTGCAGAGTCGCAGGCTTTAAACCCTGTGTGGCTGTGAGCCCTTACAGAGTCGTTGGGGTGAGCTCTGAGTTTCAGAGTCATAAAGTCCCACATGATTTAAAGCCTGTGACCCCACACCAGTCCGTTAGAACTGAAGACGCCTCTTGGATGAGAGGTGTTTTCATTTATTTGTCTGAACTGGTCCTGAGTGGTAACAATAAACCTCTCCTCTCGACAGATTGTGGACGCTGGGATCTCTAAACAAGCCCTGAGCGAGATTGAATCCAGACACAAAGACATTGTCCGTCTGGAAAGTAGCATCAAGGAGCTGCACGACATGTTTGTAGACATCGCCATGCTGGTGGAGAGCCAGGTACACTCCTCCACATCCACCTGCCTATCACTTCATCCACTCATCAACTACTTCACTCATTCTAAGCATTTTCCTGTGACTGTGTTCAACTGTATTCAACTCCTTTTCTCCTCTTTACCTCCCTTCTTGTCTCCGCTGTGGTCTGACTATCAATCTGCATCTGTTTCCTCTTTTCCAGCTCCATGCCTTTCTTACACCTCTCTGTACTCTGTTCTGCCTCCTCCATCTCATCTCATCACCAACATAGATGGAACCAACATGAAAACATTTAGTAAGATGTACCATTCAAGCATCATTTTAGACATCAGAGCAGAATTCACACAAGAATGAATACAGACACATATTGTTGATCATTCAGGCACTGTATGTCTGTGAGTACATAAGTCTAACCACATATTTCTTGCTACTTAAATCATGCTCTCTGAGGGAAAGGCTTGTTTGAGGTAAGGGCCACACTCCTGCTGTTTGTCATGTGATTTTCCCATGAAACTCTTTCTTTTCCAAACTGTTTACAGCTTTTAGTTTGAAGATGTTTGTTTAAATAGAAACTCAGCATTAACGTAAATAAAAATGCTTCTCCGTGACATTTAAAAAAACACCTCCTCACCAAGTCAGTATTGAAGCTGCCACTACAAGGGCGAGTCCATCTGTGTTTTTTTTCTGGGTTTTTCAAATGTGAAAGCCCACTCAGGATGTAGGTTAGAGCAGATATCACTGATAATACGAATGATAACTAAAAGGTTTAACCCAGATGTTTTATTTAGGGCTGTATGAGATATTTATCCGTAGACAGTGTAATATTACTGCCCCTTCACCTTGCTGTCAGACAGCCCTTTCTGATGGGGAACTGAAGCCTTTACATCGCTCTCTTCAAAGCCACCAGACTCACAAACAGTCTGCAGCTGTGCATTGCTTAGCTTCTATGCTGGTTAAGGGGTTAGAGTAATATAGCTAATTTGGAAGATCGTTAACACAATTTTCAAAGAAGGCTTGGCTCAGTCATAAAGAGGCCAGAGGGTTCAAATGTAACAACATAATCTTGGAGCATGAGATGGATCGGTGGTTTTCCGCAGCGTCTGCAGTGATGAGGGGGCTGCGCCAGACTGCCATGGTGAAGAGAGAGCTGAGCCAGAAGGTGAAGCTTTCGAATCACTGGTCCATCTCCGTTCCAACCCTCACCTATGGTCATGAGCTCTGGGTAGTGACCGAAAGAATGAAATCGCAGATACAAGCAGCCGAAATGAGTTTCCTCAGAAGGGTGGCTGGGCTTTGCCTTAGAGATAGGGTAAGGAGCTCGGACATCCGGAGAGAGCTTGGAGTAGAGCCACTGCTCCTTCATGTTGAAAGGGGACAGTTGAGGTAGTTCGAGCATCTGATCAGGATGCCTCCTGGGCACTTTCTTTTAGAGGTGTTGCAGGCACGTTCCACTGGTAGAAGGCCCCAGGGCAGACCCAGAACACGCTGGAGGGATTATATATCTTATCTTGCCTGGGTACGCCTCAGGTCTTGTAGGAGGAACTGGAAATTGTTGCTGGGGAGAGGGACGTCTGGAGTACTTTGCTCAACCTGCTGCTCCCATGACACATCCTAGTAGATATAGATAGATCATATACAGTATAGACTTTATTGACAGTCAAATCCACACCGTCAACAGAGCTCATAAGAACGAAATTTCATTCCATTGACTCTCCTCAGATAAGGGATTGAAAATGGAATGGAACATCATCTTGAGGAAACCTACGTCAGGTCACATGTGACAACATTTTTAGAAGGGCTTTTGAGGATAGTATTTGGACACTAAATCATGCGCACCTTGACCAAAATTTGACTGTTTAGATTTAAATGCATGAGGAACTCTACTGGGAAGCTATAGAATGATGTAAATAAATCAAAAAAGCAAAACATAATAGACTCTCTCTTGTAGTAACAGCAGAGGTTTTGACAATAAAAGTTCCAGAAATCTGAATATAAGAAGAACAAAATATTGTTCAGTGTATTTCTAGTATACTTGAAACCAGATGTATTACTGCACTGCTTAAACCAATGTACTGTACTGTTCTTCTGCTTGTGAAGTGTTGCTCTGTATCTTATTGACTGTTGTGTGTTTTTCAGGGTGACATAGTAGACAACATAGAGCGGAATGTATCCAAGTCAGTGGACCACATAATAGTGGCTAAGGAACAGACCAAAAAAGCTGTAAGGCACCAGACCAAAGCACGTAAGGTAATGTAATTTAGCCAACCCCAGTCTGCTGGTGACCTCTTTCTGTTTTTTTCTACCTATTATCTATACACATGTTTACACATTTAAACCACACAGTGTGCGTACAGATGATACTCCCTCACCCTGCAGACACACAGCCAATCACACACAACTGTTGCATTCTGTGTTCTTCGCTTTTTGTTTCTTTCTCTTTCTCTGTTGTTTCATGCACCTTCTTCTGTTGCTTTCCGTCACATCTGACGCCGTGCGCCATGTTAGGGTGGAATGATTGACAGGATTGAGAGCAACATGGACCAGTCTGTGGGCTTTGTGGAGCGGGCTGTAGCGGACACTAAGAAAGCTGCAAAATTTCAGCAAGAGGCTCGCCGTGTGAGTGACCACAGTCAGGAGGAGCGGTCCGGTTTCCCAAAAGCAACAGAAATAATTTCATTTTTCCAATTACAATAGAACAAAAATCATCCTGAGACCAATTTTATTCAAACTAAATACAATCTTGAGGATTTTTTTGTTTGCTTTAAAAAGCAGCAGAAAGAGCAGTGAAATAGGAAAAATTAAATGGACCAACTTGGATGCCACAGTTTCACAAGCCTGGCGTTAGAAAAAGATTCAGCACTGTAATCTGTCATTCTCGTGACCTTGAGTCAATGTGAACGTGCACCTGGGACGGCAAAGATGCCTTCCTGACAGGGCTGAGCAGCAGTCGGTGGTTAATAACGGTTCAGGCAGAGAATAACACAGCAGGAGAAATTACAGCCCATTCAGGAATTTTTGCACAGCAGGCACTGCGTACACACAGAGCTCCTGCACAAACTGCAGGGCTTCCCTGGCTCAACTGTGAAGGCAGCACAATGTCACATAATCGGTAAGGCCCAGTATTGGCCATCTCTACTGTTAACCTTATGATCATCGCAACAAAAGATAAAATTATTATTAATATGGTAATTTCTGTTGAAGAGCTGTTAAATCCTCCCCACTGTGCAGTGTAGTAGAATCTGATAAGCCCTCAAACTCATGTATCTGTTACTCAAACTGGCCATCCTGGATTGCATTTCATATCTTTGGTATCTAAAACAACAGGCCTCCACTAATGTAGCTCCTTGCATTTTATTTTTTTAAGACAGGGATGTTTTCAACCTAAACAGCTAGTTAGTTTAAATCTAGCAAAAATCTTCTGTCACAGTACATGTAATTTGATATTACTGTAACGGTATATATCACAATACAGTAACTGTTGCGTAAATTCAATTAAGAAATGGTTTACAATAACCATTTCCGTTATAACAAATACAGCAGCCTCACATGAGACAACACTTGACTTGAAAAGAAAATAGTCAAAACAGTAAAACTAAATTTCTTTTAAAATGGAAGCATAAAGGTTCATGAGTCAAGTATTACAGATTTCTGTATTTAAAACTTCACTCTTCCTCCTCCATGTCTGCCCAAATCATGTTACCTTGGGAGGCAGCTGGATTCACAAGATCACGAGAGAATCACAGAAGAATTGAGTCCTGATTTGCTACAAATTCTGCCCAGAATAGCTCCCACAGTAGAAATGGTTTCACCATGTAACTACCGGTGGACACATTTCTACCCTCACACAGTAAATACAGTCATATCGCTCATCTCTATTATGAAATAGATGAAAAGAATTCCACTTTAACACAAAGATGCTTTTGGGAAACCTGCCTTACAATATGAAGACCATCCCCACCATCAAGACCCTGATCTCCACCTTGACCCACACCTGTGATGACTTGTGATGACCCCCTGACCCTCCTACCTGCTCCGTTCCTGAGCCTCCACCTCCCCGTGGCCTGCGGATCCCTGTGCTTTGAAAAACCCAGTGACCTGCCCGGCACCACGACCACTTGCTTACACACACACATAACACACACTGACAGCTTCCACACTCTTTTCTCTGTCTCCGCTCTCTCTCTCTGCTTTGACCTTAACTTTGTCTTTATTTACAGCTTTCCATGGCTGCTGTGTGATTCTTTGGTGTTGACTGTGTTTGAAGATGGCTTTAGGCTTTTAATAATAATAATTTGATTAACATTAAATCAACACACCATGACAAAACTGGTTTATCAGACTTTTGCAAGACTAGTGCACTGAGTTTGTTACAAAGCCACACGGAGAATTCATGATATTTGATATGTCCGTTGTTGCCATATATTATACATATTACCTCATACTGCTAGGACATACACTATATAACATTCAGTAGTGGATGTTCACAAATTAAGCATATAGTTGTCGTTGTGTTCCACTGAAAATGGTACTAATGGTCCTGTATGTACTTGCTTGTCCCCAACAGAAAGTGGTGATAATAATCGTGGTTGTGCTGATCTTGGTGGGCTTACTAGCTCTCATAATCGGGTTGTCAGTGGGATTGAAGCACTCATGAGCTATTTGAATAAGAGGAGAGCTAAGGGTGAGTAACTCGGGAGCAAATAAGCTCTGTAGAGCCACAGTGGGTGTGGGAATGAAGCATGCTTTAGAAAAGGGTTTGCACACTCTTTTGCTCTGCGTGTGTTTTCTTTCTATCCCGAGGGCTTACTTGAGGTGTGTTTGTGTGTATTTGAAGTTCTTGGGTGTGTGTTTTTTCTCTCATTCTTGCGGTGCTCGCCTCTGGTGACTGCTGAGCAAACAAAGCAGTGCCAGAAGTGAGTTACAGTTTCAGCTGGTGTTTGGTCTGTGGGATCTTTTCATTGCTCATGCCCCCCGTCATAAACGCCATATTCTCCCTTTGTGTCTCTCTGCAGAGGATGATCATTATTGGTGCGGTCTGTGCTGTGGTTGTCATCCTCCTTATTGTCATCCTCTCCTGGACACTAAAACAGGACTGCTGTTTTGCTATCATCATCAGTTTATCTATCATCCACTCCACCCCATCCTCCATCAGCCAAAGAAAAACTCATACTGATCACTCCATGTGGATGTAATATTTTTAAACCTGCAGACGCAAGTGCTAGTGTTACATTTGACCTCTGGAAAAAAAAAAGAAGACCTGCAAGACTTGTGATACTTGTAAAAACTTTTAGCCCAATCAGAACTGTCCTTCTGGTCTGTGAGGGTCTGTCTGACTCCTTCAGTGTGAGGATGCTCTGCTGCAAATGAGGAAATGACGCTAAAGCTGACATGAGCTACAATAAATCTTGTATCTCTGCAGAAGGGGGAGAAGGGAATTGAAAAACAACCGATCATAATTTCACTCCAGTGCCGCCACTGTACATTTCATTGTCCAACATTTAATGCCAAAGAATCAGCCTGGAGGTCATCTGAAATTGATTTTAAAGTCCAGTGAGTTGGACTCTTGTGAAGCGCTGTAGAAGCACCCTTACTGTTATTTCTTGCCCTTATGAGCCTTGACACATTCTGTGATTGAAAAGCTAGCTGCTGTACGTTCACTGTATTTTGGATTTTGTTAGTTTTTGGGAGGAGTTCCAGCACTTTCACATTTAAAAATATGTCTTTATGTCCGTGATTATTAAGCTTAGATGATCCTGTAAATAATAGAATTATTATATTGTGTAGCCCTGAAATAATGTGGCTCTATCTTTAACTGGAAGAGGATGGTGTGCTCACTTATGAGTCTTCAGTTCGGAGAGCCAGGGGGTTCCTGATTTTAAATATGAAGGATGGTGATGATGGAAACACATTTCAATGACAGGTGGAGCAAAAAAAAGACAGACTAGGTGGATAAACATGCACCCATTGCTTTAAAACTTAACACTGCAACATCTTGGAGAAATGCCTGGGTACTTGTTTTATATCTTTGCAAATCTGTGTCACCATCTTGCATCGTGACCATCTGTTATAATGCTTTAAAAACATGTTTTAATGCCAAAGGACATAAGGAGAGACTGGTAGTGACACTAGTTTCAATTTCAGTGCCTGAATAGTCTAATAAGTAAGTAATAGTAATATATTTATTATACTTTTTGATGCTGTTGTTAATGAAGTCACACACACAGGATAAAGTGTAAAAGGACACTCTAACTAAACCTACACAAAGGTCTCCCTGATCGGTGGCTATTTATGACTAGTGTTATGTGCATTTCCTGACATATTTTAGGTCTCATTACATTCTTACTGTAAACGCACACCTCAGTTTCCAGTTTATTAGGTACAGCTATGTAAAACAAACAGCCCTGCAATAAATCCCCTGTTGGTGAAGGTTTCAACAGCTTTATAGATTAGTTGGTTAAACTGTATGGACAAAATGGAGGCAGTAGTTTGTGCTGCTTTTGAATTGTATTACATTATATTCTGTCTAATATTTAGTCAGCCCTCATCGAAACAACACACGTCTAGTTTAAACAAAAACAACTCTCTAGTTTAGTCCATATTTTCAGAAAGCACATTGATGAAAATCAGAATTTGTATTGGCGTTAAGGGTAGCGCCAGTATTTTTCAACATGGACCCTGTTTTTCTATGTTTTGTGTCTAAGGGATTAATAGGAACAACAGTTTTTAAAATTGGTCCAGTATTGACAGAGGACTGCTGCTGGCAGCCGCAAAACAGGCAATATGATGCCGTCAATATATGTCCGCTAAAATTGCTTGTTTATGCCACTGACAGGTTCAGATTGTTACTATACGTGTCTGACAACTGTTAGGATTCCTATAGAGACAGACCTTTTTGTTACAACCCTGAAATCGCTATGCCAAACCCACCAAACTCCATTTAGAAACCAGCAAAGTTAGCATGTATAAAGCCAGCATGTTTTCCCTGTTAAACATTTTTCATTCAGAGTTGACAGAAACAAAATAAAACTGTCTGGGCTCATCTTTCCGGTGTTTCAACAATCACATACTCTGTTGGCTGAAATAAACCCTTAATGCGCTCAGTTAGATGTGAAAGAATGCTGATGTTATACATGCTAAAATCATTGTTTATTTAAATGGAGTCTGGTGGGTTTGGTGATAGCGTTTCTTGGGTTGTTTCTGGTTCAACAAAAAGGATCCTGCTCTGGAACAAAAAGGTCTATCTCTGGAGGGATCCTTTCCATAATGTTGTAAGACACAGAATAACAATCTGAGCCTTTCAGTGGCAAAAACAAGCACCTTTAGTGGACGTACGTTGACGGTGCAAATTGCCCCAGTTCTTACATTGCAGCCTGTTTGGCCACTGCTGGCTGCAGTCTTCTTTCTCAATACTGGACCAATTTCAAAAACTGTTGTTCCCATTAGTTATTTAGACAAACACATGGTAGAAGCGGGTGCAGATTGAAAAATATTGAAGTTACCCTTTAATCTATCTCTGCTTGTAGTCTGAGATGTTGTATAAACCAGATGCAGGGCTGTTTTATTGGACTAGTTAGTTAGCTAGGTGTACCTAATAAATTGGCTTTGATTCTGGTTGGTCACCATCATTTCATTAGACCCTTTCATCTTGGTTGAGGGAATGTGTCAGACTGAGAGTTTAGTTAACTACAGAGCACATGTTGTCACCCAGAGGCTTTAATATGGCAGTTGAAGCGGGTGACTCCAGCTGTGCACACAAGGACTCTCTCAGGGGCACTACTGTCAGTCATTAAAGGGACAGGTATTGACCACATGCAGGGTTTTGTAGTGTAAGATGTCCCGTGCCTTATGAGCTCCACCATCACTGAGGGAAGTCTTTGTTTCTGTGAGACCACAGCCTGAATGGTTCCTTTTAACTCTGGTTGCACGGGGAGCACTTGAAAGTGAGAGGCCTCCCCAGCTTGCTCTTTTGACCATGCAGTATGCTCTTTGGGCTCCTGCCCTCGACTGTTGAATCCTAATGCTTCCATTCAAGCCTTTTTTCCTTCACACACCACTTTAGCCACCAGCACAGGATGCAAGGCGAGAAGAAGGAGAAAACTGATGCTGTTGTACACTGTTTTAAATTAACAGATTTTAATGACAATTAAAGATTTTATGTTTTTTAATGACTGGTTGACTTGTGTTTTCTTACAATCTCATGCCTGTCCCTTTGGGAGCGACAAAATAAATATGTGACAGTGGTTTTTTTCCCCCCTTTTTGATGACTAAATGTTAAGGAAGAGCTGTGTGGATGCTTTTTATGGGATGTAGTAGCTGTTGTCAGCAGTTTCTTGATACAGCATGTTAACCACTGTGTTTCAAAGTGCATGTTTTAAAGTCAGGTGCACAACAAGTGTCAAAGAGAAGGTATGTTTTTCACCTTTCCTCTCTCTTTACACACACACACACACACACACCCTATTCTCTGTGAACCTTTGTTCCCCTTTTACTCAGTCATTTCCTCAAACCAATGTGCCCTTCAATGTAAATTGTGTGGCATTAAATTTTAGTGGATGCTGCTGCCTGACTTCTGTATTTGTTTTATTAAACCTGCAGAAGAAGATGATGATTACATTGTGCTGTGCCATCATTGGGATCGTTGGGTTCTCCTATCTCTACAGCTTCTTCTCGTAAAAAGGCTTAACACAGGTAAAGCACCTGCATCAGCCTGAAACACTCTGAGCTATGTTCTATCAGATTAAATGTTTCAGTAATGTTTTTTTTTGTCTTTGTGTAGTGTTTCCAAGGAAGATAGGGTCAAGAAAAGAGAGTTTCCTGAGGTGCTTCCCTGTTTTTTACCCTGATTATCATTTGAATCTGTTTTAAAATTTAATAAAAGGTTAAAATAAAAGAAAGAAATTGACCCACACCAGCCCTGCACACTTACCCTTTTATTAATAATTTAATTATTTACTCGCTGTATGAAGTGTTTAAAAGTGTTATAAATGTGTAGATTTTTCTCAGTCTGCCTGTTCATAATTCAACATGTGACTTATAAGCATTTTGGACCATCCTGGTCGACTGTAGTCTGCCGCCTCCTGGTGGTGCATAGAGGGGACAGTCATGTTTATTATTATAAGGAATCTATTTCTAAGGATTTATCTAAGCTTAGTAAATATGCATGATGGTGTTTTTTCTGTCTTTGGGTCCAGACGTTCATTCATGCACAACACATATTATGCTCTGGTTAAAAATATCCAGTCAAGTAGTATTTTCTGACTTATTTGTTGTCATAATTTGAATAAATTTGTATGTGATTTTGTTGTGTGTGACCTGTCTGTATGCGTCTGTGCTGATGAAATGCTTGTACCGATGATGGTCTTTTCTGTAACAGCGGCTGCCACTCGCTCACTGGCTGTGTGTCAACCCAGTAAAGCCTGTTATGTAATAAAAGATTTCTGTGCGTTGTACCCAGTGTCTGTGTGTGCTTGGCTTCATGTGTTGGAGGGTTTGTACATGGCTCAGCTGATCACCTCTGGGTGCATGGAGGCAGACACATGTTTTACTCTCAGAGCAGCCTTTACTGTGTGTGCTGTGCAGATATGGCGATGCACGACATTACATCCGTGTATGAACGGCTTCCCTGACCTCATTTCATCCCCCATCTCGCTGTTCGTCCTAACCAGAGGCAGGCCCGGCCCATCAACACCCCGTGGGGCGGGGTTTGACACAAGGGCGCGCTTGTTTTCCTGCTTCGTGTGTGGAGGATAAACGGGGATAAGATTAGATTAAACTCAGTACAATATATTGATCCTTTGGAGGACGGAAATTTAACATTATAGTAACACACAGGGACAGACAAGGTGAGTAGGATGCAGGTAGGTAGAATAAATAGATACAGACTGAATAAATAAATTAAGTTATATACAATGAATTAACCGAAACCAGTGTACATATGCATGCAACACCAGTGGTGCACATTTCTGGTATTCCACCATAAAATGAAATGCTGCATACATTATAATGTTAGTATGCATTCATGCACAAAAAGCATACTGTGAAAATAACACGAAACAATATCTGCATTATAATGTTTAAAATGATATATACATACAAATATAGCAGATGTGTAGTGTAATATCCATCCTTTAGTGTTTATATTTTATGCTACTTTATTTCAGCAGTAAAATGTTGCTTCATTATGACTGTCCAGTTAGTACAGAGGTGTTTGCAACAAAATGTACTTAATTTTCTCATCATGCATGAGTTCAGGACACCAACACCACTCTTGAATTTTTAACACGACGCACATATTGTAGCCTACATACATATATATGTATATATTTTACTATTGCGGAAAAACTGACATATTTAGGTTATTATAAATATTTTTTATTATTTTTTAATATTTATATTAAAATTAATGATACTATTTTAATATAATTTTAGTTACAAATATTTTACATACTAGTGGCATAATGCACTTTTAAAAAAATCTTTTGCATACTTCTTATTTCATAGTTCTTAGGGACTGTTCTGTACTTATCAGGGGAGGGGGGTGGCTGGGGTGTAACTACTTTTTTTTTTTTTTACTTTTAATTTTGAGCCTCCCTAAGTGACTGACGGACCATAAATTAGTAAATACATTTTTTAAAACTTACCCTTTGATGTTTGAAAGTTAAAAGTTAAAATTTAAAGACAAAATTCTTGAGTTGAAAAAAAGTATTTCTCTCTCTCTTTTTTCTTTTTTTTTTAAAAAAAATCTGCTGTAAAATAAAAATAAAATACAACCTTTTAAAATATATATGCCCCTTCCCCAAGCCAAAAATAAAAACATTAGACCCTCCCTAGAGCTTAAAAATCATTTGACATGCTTCCCCCTCTTTTTGAATCTCCTCCTACCTCTTAAGTAACGAACAGTCCCTTATTTCTACTTAGATATAATTTTCTTTGCTTTACATCAGTGTGACTGCAATGTTTTACAATTTACCTCCAGCTATCAATGACGTATTTCTAATTCTGAGGGCTTTGCAGGGGGTATTAATATAATGAAGATAGTGATTATTTCTTTGGGTACTGGTGGGGTAAGATGGGGGAAGAACAAAGTTATTTTACTGAACTGGTGGATTAAATCTCAAGAATGCAGCATGTCAGATGAAATGTCACAATTCACTACAGCATAGTCATTAAATGCATGTGTTAAGAGTGGATTTAGTGCCATATATACATATTTGAAGAGAGGAATTAAGGGAGCATCTTATCCCATCTCATCTCAGTGCAGAGGGAAATTAAACCCACCTCTCCACCGTCACACCAGGGAGCACAAACCGAGTACACATGTCTATTAACATATGATAATCGGGTTTAAAGAGCACATGTTGTGTCCAATGAGAGCGTCTCTATGCTAATGTCTCGGAGCAGTGAGGTAAATAGGGGGGTGGGTCATGAGCTTTTTTTTTTTTTTTTTTTTGGTTTGTGTGTTATGTGTGTGTGTGTTATCTGACCAGCTGAAAATGGCGGCTCGAAGCGTCGAATCCGTCTAACTTTATCGCACAATAATAAACATAACAATATACACCGCTGTTATCACATAACATGGGGAGAAACTTTACTGGGAGGCCTCAGACGCTCTAGCTGGGAAACATTACTTTGACCACCACGGCTAAAAGGAGTTAAGACGCAGAGGTAACGATAAAGAAGCTTACAACTGCCGTATAGACGCTAATGTCAGCTAGCTAGCTAGCTAGTTAGCCAGCGTCAACGTTAGCCGACGACTTAAGAAAGGGATTGGCAACTGAGCTAGTTTACGTTAACCGATAGCGACAGTTAAATAGCGTCAGTAAATGGACACACGAGTGCAGGGTATTCCTGTTAAAATGTTGCTGCTGTAGTCGGCACTTGTCTTGTACAGTGACGCAAGTTCAACGTAAATGTTTTGTGTTGTGTTGCTAACCGTTGCTAGCTGGCTAAAGCAACACTGTTGGCTAACGTTAGCAGCTAGCTAGGCTGTACTCAGAGAGAGGTGTGTGTTTCTGTTTCACTGAATGTAAAAGCACTGAAACATTGGTCGACTGTTTAATCAGTGTGGTATAACGCTACTGACGATACTTTATTTCTCTTCTAGAGATCATGGAGGATCCTCATACACGGTACAGCAAACGCCTGGTGAGTAACTTAACCAAACTGCTAGCTTCCTGGAACACTTGTTTTATGTTTACAGTGCAACTGCTAAGCGTTTTTCACCCAAGTTGCGTGTGTGGTGTTAGTCTTTAAAACTCACAAAGCAGTCTACTAGACGTTAAACATTGCATTTGATTAAAATAGTCCACTTTCTTTTGGCACATTGTGTTTAAAGGCAGTGATCCTCTCTGTGTTGTGTGCCACCCTAACCTCGGCAATGAACCTGTCTTAAGACCCAGGGTTCAAGAGAAGGTCAAGTCCACTGTCTAACCTGACAACATTTGTGCTGTGACCTTGCTTCACCTTCTTACAACCACATCCCCCTGTTGTAAAGTAATTACCCCAGTGCTTACAAACGTTCCACTGTGTACTCAGAGAAAGACTGGTACTAGTGTTTGGGGACATAAGCAGTTTCATCTCTTTATATAATAATGCCTATCCTGCCATTAACGATTTCGCTTTGGGAAACATGTCTTTGGTTGTTTGTTGAACACACCAAAGCTTAATAAAAGCACCCATAAATTGTTGCTTAATTGCAATCCATAAAGTCCCTTTGTCATTTTTATTACAACAATGGTGTGGGTTGCTTTCCTCTACTGTATTAAATAGTTTTCTGTTGCAAATTAGTAGCTACTGTGCAGTGCTTGGTTGTTATAATAAGGAGTATCTGAGTTTAAATAATACCACACTTGTGGGAAAGGGATGGGGGTGGGGAGATCTGAGAGCGGGGGTGTTGTGCTTTATCCATCTGTCTAGCCAAGCAGTGTTGCATAGGGTGAAAGGCAGGAGGGGAGTAAAAGAGGGGGGTAGTGTGTGGAAGATTAACCCCTGCTATTGTGATGCTGCATTGTTTGGATCCTACATGAACTGATTTGGTCTCTGGCTGACTGATCTGCTTGGATTGATTTATTGTGATTATGTTCTTGTCTTGGGTGAAGGGAGGCGTTAGTTTTGTCCCTAATGGCAATTTTAGATCCTTTTTGTTTTTTTTTTTAACCACTGAGAGATAAGGGACAGCTCCCTTGGGTGTAACCTCATATCTTGGAAATTAGACTCCAGTAAGAACATTTTAAAAATACATAAAGCAGTGTTGCAGGGATCTTGGATTTTTTTGCATCCGTGTTAGATACAGCTCTGCTTGCCTTTGGTGGTGTGACAGAACCAGTCACCAAGAGTTTTGTGACAAATGACTGATGTGATACTAGTCGTTGCTTTCAAGGTTTTCCTTCCAAGCATATCCCCTAAGTCCTTTTTATTATGTGACGTTGTACATATGTACTCTTGTTATCAGCTTTGCTGGGTCTGATAGGCTGCTATAACACAGCTTTGTCATGGCACTGATATATCTTCAGTGCAGTAAAATATCCCATATTTCTTACTGCCAGTTGTTCAAGCCCACTCCTCCTGTCCTTTTTTTGGTTGCTCATCACAAGTCTTCTTCTCTATGTGTGACATAGAGGTTAACAGAACCCTTTTGCTGTCCTCAGCGTACAGGTACGCGGCGCCGCTACCAGGACGATGGAATCTCAGATGATGAAATCGAAGGGAAACGAATGTTCGACCTGGATGAGAAGTTGCAGTGCACCAGGTTTAACAGTGACTTGATCAAACACATGGAGGGTAAAGGTAAGAGGTTTGCACCAACCCAAGAGATTGTTGGAATAAAATTTCAATGTAACAGCTCTTGAATATATCTGATGCCATGTAAAGGCAATTAAAGGCTCAGTCAGCAATTCTAATCCAATACACCTTTTGTCAAGTTCAGCGAATATCTCCTCATGGTCCGCTAGCTTTCTGTTCTGTGGTTGCGCTCTGAAATTAAATCCGGTGTACATATACAGCCCTGGCTCTTTAAGTGGGAAACAAACAAAGTGGTTCGGACTGAGCTGCACAACACTATGTCGGCTACTCTCCCTTTTCTGCGTCCTTGCCCACAAGGAACAGATGTACACTTGACATAGAACTATTACAGGAGCTTCTGAAGTAGCACTCACGAGAGTGGTGTATTTGGGTGTTGAGTTTAAGTATCACCAATGATTCTCCAGAATCGCTGACTCTACCTGTAATGTTAGCCGCTTGTTCTGTGCTGTGTTTCTTGATACTGCAGATTTTGGAACACTGTATTGATCAGACAGAAGTGTGTCTGCCAGTTAATGTTGGTTTGTTTAAGTCTTGTCATTGTAACTTTGAGTAATCTTAGTGTTTGTCGTCTTTCTAGATTTCACATTTGAATACATCCAGAGGGAAGGGCTCAGGGACCCCATTATCTTTGATACAACTGAAGGCCTTGGCATACAGTAAGTAGCATACTTTTACTGGTAAATCACAGATTACTCTTTTTCTAATCGCACACAGTCTTTTTTTTTACTTTGTTATATGGAGACATATACTGACTTAGTTTAAAATAATTTCAAAACAAATGTTAATAAACCTGTTACCTCTCTCTTGCAGAATGCCAGACCCTGATTTTAGTGTGAGTGATGTCAAGTTGTTTGTAGGTAAGTTCCTCTTTTGTGCCCTTTCAAAGTAAATGGTTTTGCTTGGCTAAATGGCTAGCCTTAGAGGAAGATATTACCATGCTCCAGATATATCTTTGAATATGCCGGCTGATAAGTAACGACATTTAAATGCTTAATCAAAACTGATTACAGTGGTTTCAGACGTTGAACTCCTTGTGATTCTCTTACAGGTAGTCGACGCATTGTAGACGTGATGGATGTGAACACCCAGAAGGGAATCGAGATGTCGATGGCTCAGTGGCGACGCTACTATGAGACGCCGCCATCAGAAAGAGAAAAACTCTACAATGTCATCAGCCTGGAGTTCAGCCACACCAGGCTGGAGAATCTTGTCAAACGACCGGCGTCGGTGAGAATGCACACAGTCTAACACTTCAGGGCTTTACAACAGCTTATATGTACACACTGGTAATGTCATTTTAAAGCTCTTACTGGCACATACTCGACAGGCTACTTATCCTAATTATTCGTGTGCTGCTTTGATGGCTACAGAGCTTTGGCTTGGTTGTGGGGTCAAAATACTTTGTCTAGATACAGAAAGTGTCTTAATAGAAACAGTCTTGTCAATTTGAATGCATGTTTTATACCTTTTTCTTCTCCTTATTTATCAGGTGGACCTTATTGACTGGGTTGACAACATGTGGCCTCGCCATCTCAAGGAGAGGCAGAGAGACTCCACTAATGCCATCATAGACATGCATTATCCCAAAGTACAGAAGTGAGTAAACCATACGCCTCAGAAACATAGAACATTTCCTATGACGCTAATCACATGTCATACATCAGTGATACATTTAATACACTTCAATTCAGAGTCTCTTAATGGCTGTTTTTTCCCCATTTTAACCTGTTATCCTGTTGTGTTCTCCATCCTTCCTCTGCTCCTTCCAGGTACTGTCTCATGAGTGTGCAGGGCTGCTTCACAGATTTCCACATTGACTTTGGAGGCACTTCCGTCTGGTACCACATCCTGCGAGGAGGAAAGGTCAGTCTGGAGGTCACAACACACAAGAATGGTAGATTTAAAGGTTTGACTACCTTCAGTGACCCAGTGGAAACTTCTTAGTCGTAATGAGAGACAGCTAATTTTCTCGCTCTTCCTGTCAGAGTAAAAGTAAATATGATTGTGAACTATCACTTCATCTTGCATTTCAACTTTCCTGTTAACATCCTGTAAATGCACATCAGTGATATGGTCACATTTTTATGTATTTGTTGACCTCAGTTGAGATGCCTAACTTTTTTTTCCTGTGACCTCTGCAGGTGTTCTGGCTGATTCCACCCACACCACAGAACCTGGAGATGTATGAGAACTGGGTTTTATCAGGAAAACAGGGCGACATCTTCTTGGGGGACAAGTGTCACGACTGTCAGAGGATAGAGCTCAAGCAAGGCAACACCTTCATAATCCCATCAGGTATACGTTGATGTATTACGGCAGCGACGCATACTCACCTATTAAATAAAACACACCACTCACTTGACAACTACATTCCTTAAACATTCCCCATCATGTATGTTGTTAGGGTGGATCCATGCCGTGTACACCCCAGAGGACACGTTGGTGTTTGGGGGGAACTTCCTCCACAGCTTTAACATCCCCATGCAGCTCAATATCTACAGCATTGAGGATCGCACGCGGGTGAGCAGCCCCTCACATTCACTGTAAACCCTTTTACTGCTGTTGATATAGAACTGTCCTCTGGACACACATTGATGATTGCTTAAGATTTTGTGATTATGCAAGGCATGATTCAGAGTCTTATCCTGTGGAATTACTCATCATAGAAAAACACGCGACAGAATCATTTCTCAACAGCATGAATTTAATTTTAAGAATTTGTAAGTGCCATAAAGTAAGCCATGCACAGATTTTTATTTATTATGATTTCTCTCCAATACTAATTCCGACACATAAACTAAGGCTACTGAGATACTGAGTAGCATCGTGATATCAATACCAGTGCTCACTTATCCTCAACTTCAAAATCTGAATACCTCACTGATGAAGTTAACATGGAGATAGTGTTTACATGGACATGAATATCAGGTTATTGTATTGATGTGTTTGATCATGTAAACAAACAGCATGTCTCATTTTCAGAAACCAGCATGAAACCATACCACATTTATGCGAAACCAACATGTAATACGCGAAGTACTCCAACTATTACTGCACATATACACCTTATCCCGGTTATTAAACACTGCTACGTACCTGTGCGGACACAGCTTTTGCCAAGTGATGTAACAAATACAAAAAATGGCAGCAGTGAAAGCATCTCACCTCTGGAGTGATGAAGGAACAGAGTTTTTTTGTCTTTTGGTAGTATCTTCATTCTCTGCTCCCCTTTCCTTTGCGGTGGTAGTGACAGTGACAGACTAGCACTGATCAAAGTGGAGGGCAATGTTATATGAGTAGAGCAGCTGCTTTCAGGAGTAACGGTAGCTTAGTGGGTAGTGTGTGTGTGTGGTTAGAGTGAGCTAGAGAGAGAGACGATGGCGCAGTGAGAAAGCTATTGGTGATCGGAGTTGAGAAAAAATAAGCAGTTGAGTTGTTGAGTGGTGGTAAATGTACAGTGTCATGTTTAATATTTCTCTTAGGTCTCATCTGAATTGTTTCTATAAATATCACAAGCACCTGCTCAAATGGACTGTAATAATCAGTAATGGGGTTACTAGTATTTTTTTATACTGGGAATATGAACAACCTGGTTTCTTTGTGCTCATGTAAACACTATATCCTGAATATCATCAAAACCGGGGCAAGCCTCATACAGGTTATTCATGTCCATGTAAATGCACTCTGTGTCTGAATTAATTTAATGAAAATACTGAATCTTTGAATAACACTTTCAAAGAAGCTGTATTTAATGTGCGTTGGTTATGTCATGGTCTGACCCAATCTACCAAGAGTCTGTATTATTGCTGACACTAATGAGGCGTATGTGATTGGTGCATTTACACATAAGGCTGCACAATTATGTAGTCATAATGTGAAGTTGAACTAATGATATTACCATATATTCCTCCCACTTCTTTGGTGTAACAACATGACTCTTGAATCACACTTATACAGTAACACAAAATCAAGTAATTTCCAGGAAATACAACAGTCTCGTAGGAGACTTTTTTTTTTCTTCTGAATTTTGTTAGAGCACGGGTTTGGTTATGCTCGGCTTGAACATGCTTTTCAGACACTGTCACTGCCTAGCCATATACAGTATGATCAGCTGGTTGAGGGGAAGCACGCAGGTGTTCAGACTGCATCCGGGCGCTAGCCACTGCAGGCACACCGCACTTCCCCCACCTCTTCCTAAGCAGAAGTGCAAACCACAACAAAGCTGTGACAAATGCTTCAGAGCAGCTGAAGAGCAGTTTGTTAAAGAAGCAGAAAATGTGCAGTCCTGTATATCATTACGTTGTCTCGCGGTGGTATTTGACTAAACAGGGTCTTGAAGATGCAAAAAATTAATAAGCAGGATTTTTCCTAATCTGTTTCTGTCCTCCTCCTCTAGGTGCCAGCAAAGTTTCGCTACCCGTTCTACTATGAGATGTGCTGGTACGTCCTGGAGAGATACCTCTACTGTCAGACCAACATCTCCCACCTCACCCCTGAGTTCCAAAAATACTCCCTAGGCATAGGTGAGGATGGATACACAAGGCACATAAGACAACACTGCTGTCCGTACAAAGACCTGTAATCTAATCCATCACTGTCATGAGATTCAACTGTCATGTCCACTCTCTTTTCAGGACTGACTCCAGCTGACCTTGAAACCCATGACCACACCAAGAATGGCACCTCCAATGGAGTTGACAGTGACACTGAAAACAAGGAGATCAAGTTCAAGGAAGAAGAAGTCAAAGAAGAAGAAGAAGAGGAGGCCGCTCAAGTTACTAAACCTCGACAGGTCCTGACTCCCTTTGAGTTAGAGGGACTGTGGAACCTCTTGGGGAAACTAGAGGAGCTGCCGGCCCAGAAAAAGTGTGTCCCTGCAGGCATCATGAACCCCACAGCACTGCTCGAAGACATGAGGGTGGGTGTCATTCCCTCTCACACTGAACTCACACTGGCTACTGATGCTTCATGATGCTATTTCAAGGGTAAAAGTTCAGGTATATTTGAGATACATATGTGTTAATACTCCTTTTCTCTTCTCCGCTTGTTCAGACTCTTCTGAAGGAACATGCCAATGATGACTCTAAGCTGTCCTACACTGGAGAGCCTATTGTCAAGTGGCCCAAAAGGGTGAGTAGAGAAATATTTTCAGCTAGCTGAGAGCACAGAGAATTGTTTGTGAGCAGATAGCGTGTTAAGAATTAGTGTTTTAGTATGATTTATTATAAATGATTAAGCCCTTCATTTAGGCTCATCATGCCCCAGCTCGTACACAATTCTGATTGTTTAATTTTTTTGCTTTTCCTGGCGATGCAGCCATCATGGTACCAGCCGCCCATTCCCCCTCCCCCTGTTATTTACCGTCCTCGCCTGGGCCCCACCCTGCACAAGCCTCTGGGCCAGAGGTCCGCCAAACGCTCCTCCATCTCTGCCCTGAGGCGCAGACGGGTGAGGTGCAAGCGCTGCGCCGGCTGCTGCAGGAAGGAGTGCGGCACCTGCCAGTACTGCCATGACATGAGGAAGTTTGGTGGGCCTGGACGCATGAAGAAGGGCTGCATCATGAGGCAGTGTCTATCGGTGAGTCGTCATTCTTACCATCGTCTTTGTGTGTGTGGCATCAAATGATGCTGTACATGTATGCATGGTGTATACCAGGAGAAAATGTTCGGTCGAAACTCAGAACTGGGTTAAATTATTGAATCTGCAATATTTAAGGCCACACCCCTGGTGTAAATAATGATTGTTTCTTCCTGCAGCCTGCCTTGCCGAACACAGCGCGATGTGCCATATGTGGAGAAGGAGAATCTGAGGAGTCAAATCTGAGCTCTTGCTCACTTATGGAGTGCTCTGTCTGCTCGCAGATTGCCCATCGTCAGTGCATTAAGGTAATCTGCCTCAGACGTAGCGGAAGCTAGAAACTGAATACATTACCCAATAATTGCTGTCACTGTTTGTGAATTTGTAGCCGCTATTTCAAACCTTTAACTGTTTGCTCTTTCAGGAACCTGGTGAGGGGAAGATCAATAAGGATTTGCCCAGCTGCTGGGAGTGTCCCAAATGTTACCAAGGCAAAGACTCGGCATCAGAGGTACGATATGGCAGATGTTCTCACTCAAATTAACAATGACACTTTATCTTCTTCAACCCCCTCATCCATCTCTTCCTGTCCTTCCCACACTAGTCTTCCAGCGATGAGGATAGTGATGAGTCGGAGGGCTCAGGCTCCTTGCCACCGTCCAAACTCGCCTACCGGGAAGGCATCGGTGTAGGTGAAGGAGGGAGCCGAGGGAAACGTAGGAGATCCCCGTCCCGACCCACAGCACCACCACCTTCTCAGAAACTGCTACTGCAGCATCAGCAGAGCCGCAAAAGAGCAAATGCACTGGAGCTCAGACTCAAGAAGAGGGTAAAGTGGATTAAATGCATTTGTTGAATTTGCTCACAGTTTAGTGAAAGCATATCATGACAGATTTAGTTCTGCAACATGGGCGAAATGTGTCGATTGAAAACATTTTGATAGTTCAGCATAGATTGCATTTACAAATATATATTTAGATGTCTGATTAACAATAATCTAGCTCAAAAGTTTTCCTTTCAGTTTTAGAAGCCTTAAAGGTTTAGGTGCACTAAAAATTCAGCTTTTCCAGGAGTATGAAATATATATAGAGAGCCCATTGATTTTGATCTGTTTTAATCACTGAAGATGTTACATACAGTACAGGCCAAAAGTTTGGACACACCTTCTCATTCAATGCGTTTTCTTTATTTTCATGACTATTTACATTGTAGATTCTCACTGAAGGCATCAAAACTATGAATGAACACATGTGGAGTTATGTACTTAACAAAAAAAGGTGAAATAACTGAAAACATGTTTTATATTCTAGTTTCTTCAAAATAGCCACCCTTTGCTCTGATTACTGCTTTGCACACTCTTGGCATTCTCTCCATGAGCTTCAAGAGGTAGTCACCTGAAATGGTTTCCACTTCACAGGTGTGCCTTATCAGGGTTAATTAGTGGAATTTCTTGCTTTATCAATGGGGTTGGGACCATCAGTTGTTTTGTGCAGAAGTCAGGTTAATACACAGCCGACAGCCCTATTGGACAACTGTTAAAATTCATATTATGGCAAGAACCAATCAGCTAACTAAAGAAAAACTAGTGGCCATCATTACTTTAAGAAATGAAGGTCAGTCAGTCCGGAAAATTGCAAAAACTTTAAATGTGTCCCCAAGTGGAGTCGCAAAAACCATCAAGCGCTACAACTAAACTGGCACACATGAGGACCGACCCAGGAAAGGAAGACCAAGAGTCACCTCTGCTTCTGAGGATAAGTTCATCCGAGTCACCAGCCTCAGAAATCGCAAGTTAACAGCAGCTCAGATCAGAGACCAGATGAATGCCACAGAGAGTTCTAGCAGCAGACCCATCTCTAGAACAACTGTTAAGAGGAGACTGCGCGAATCAGGTCTTCATGGTCAAATAGCTGCTAGGAAACTACTGCTAAGGAGAGGCAACAAGCAGAAGAGATTTGTTTGGGCCAAGAAACACAAGGAATGGACATTAGACCAGTGGAAATCTGTGCTTTGGTCTGATGAGTCCAAATTTGAGATCTTTGGTTCCAACCGCCGTGTCTTTGTGAGACGCAGAAAAGGTGAACGGATGGATTCCACATGCCTGGTTCCCACTGTGAAGCATGGAGGAGGAGGTGTGATGTTGTGGGAGTGTTTTGCTGGTGACATTGTTGGGGATTTATTCAAAATTGAAGGCACACTGAACCAGCATGGCTACCACAGCATCCTGCAGCGACATGCCATCCCATCTGGTTTGCGTTTAGTTGGACGATCATTTATTTTTCAACAGGACAATGACCCCAAACACACCTCCAGGCTGTGTAAGGGCTATTTGACCAAGAAGGAGAGTGATGGAGTGCTGCGGCAGATGACCTGGCCTCCACAGTCACCGGACCTGAACCCAATCGAGATGGTTTGGGGTGAGCTGGACCGCAGAGTGAAGGCAAAGGGGCCAACAAGTGCTAAACACCTCTGGGAACTCCTTCAAGACTGTTGGAAAACCATTTCAGGTGACTACCTCTTGAAGCTCATGGAGAGAATGCCAAGAGTGTGCAAAGCAGTAATCAGAGCAAAGGGTGGCTATTTTGAAGAAACTAGAATATAAAACATGTTTTCAGTTATTTCACCTTTTTTTGTTAAGTACATAACTCCACATGTGTTCATTCATAGTTTTGATGCCTTCAGTGAGAATCTACAATGTAAATAGTCATGAAAATAAAGAAAACGCATTGAATGAGAAGGTGTGTCCAAACTTTTGGCCTGTACTGTATCTAAAAAGAGCTTAAAAAATTGAGTGTTGCCTTGATGAAATTTGCAGTCTCCCTGAAACAGATTAGGCAGATGCTGAAGATACAGTTATTGGCACCTCCTCTGACACAGATAGTGGACCAAAAAAAACAACTGTTTTTTTCTCTCTATTAAACATTATTATCTCCTTCCATCTCCAACCCTTGTTCTGTTTATTGCAGATAAAACTAGAGCGCAGCAAAATCATAACGGTAAGCAGTGCACTTATTTCTGTAATGCTCCCCATTGCATTTGAATACTACAGATTCATCCAAGTAGTATCTTGTTCTCATTTGCCGTCTTTTCTTTGTGCTTTCCTGCCAAACAGAAACAGTCATCTCTAGAGCGTTCACCCAGGCTGCTGGGCTCCAGGGTGCTGTCCCGGCTGCGCTCCTCAACCAGCAGACTATCTCAGGGCAGAGGCCGGGGCTCCACTTGGGCAAGTGGCTCCCCTTACCACAGCTCTTTAGGAGGGGCCGGGTCCTTTCAGCAACAGTCTTCCCTCGGTCTAGTACTTGAGCCCAAAGGAGAGCCACGCAGAGGGAGGGGGAGAGGAGTGCGGCTGCGGGGGGGAGGAGCAGGAAGAGGAATCAGAGGTGGTAGAAGCCCTGAAGGTTTGGAGGAGGAGGAGGAGGAGGAGAGCGAGGACAGCAGCAGCAGCAGCACCAACACCAGCAGCAGTGATGATGACGAGGAAGAGGAGAGGGGGCAGAACAGTGGGAGGGGATTGGATAAAGAGAACCGGCCACAGTCGAGGCGAGAAGGACGGGCAGCCAAAGAAAGAGAAGAGGAAGGGAGCGAGATGACCAACCAAAACGGTGCGGAGGAGGATGACGAGGAGGAAATAGAGCAGGACAGTGAAACGGGGGGCAAAGATGGTTCATATCTTAAAGTGACACTTCAGCGGCCAACCAGGGCCAAGCGGGACCCATCAGCCATTGTCCCTAAATTAGAAGCCATTGCCTCTCAAACTGCCACTTCCACAATACACAACCAGAGCCGAACCCTCGCCAGACCCCCCATTAGAAACCGTGGCCCCCGTCCCGATCAACACTCCAATAGGCACACACCACCACACACTCGCAGCGGACACACAGACACTCGTACTTCCCACACAGAGAGGGTGGAGGACTCAAAAAAAATGAGGCTGAGCAGGCCGGCCAAACTGAGCAATGGTGCCTCCTCTTCTTCGACGTCTGAGCTTCCCCATCTCCGCATCCCTCTGTCCGCCCTGCAGGAGGGAGGGAGCGAAGCAGACAGGGAGAACGGTGGGAGTGGGCCAGGCTGTGAGAGGGAGGTGTGGGTATCTGTCTTCCGTTACTTGAGTCGAGCAGATCTCTGTGTCTGCATGGCTGTCTGCAAGAACTGGTACAAATGGTAAGACTTCTTAATGGATATGCATTTATTAGGGATGGGTTTTAATAGCGGCTTCCATTTTGTATCTGGGTCCTGTTAGACAAAATATCAGTATCTCTTAAGCTGCAATGCTAACATAACTTGTCTCCTCACGTAAGTAGGCTGTGTTAAAAAAGTGTTGCGTTTCTACCTCTTTCTACATCTTTAAGTTGTAGTTATGTTTGTCTTTAGTTTCTTGCAGCTGTGAAAAGAGAAAGGGATTTATGTGTTTTGGATTTGATACATAGATTTCAATTTCAGGAAATGCAATCAACCCCCATCCCTAATTTTTTTATATCTTTTGTATTGCAAACTCATTAGTGAGGTTGTGTTTATCCATGCCAGGTAGTTTGTAGTGTCATATCACTCTGCAAATAGATACCCATGAATGGATGCGTTTTTAATCAGTGTGTGCTTGCTCGCAGGTGTTTAGACAAGCGGCTTTGGGCACGGATTGACCTGAGCATCAAACGCACTGTTACTCCTCAGGCACTAACAGGCATCATAAAGAGACAGCCGGTCACGCTCGATCTCTCCTGGACCAACATCTCTAAAAAACAGCTCAACTGGCTTGTTGGCCGCCTGCCTGGTACGTAAACACACACACACACACACACACACACACACACACACAGAGTCTTCCACACAATGTTATATGTATTAGATTCCAAGTTGGTCAGTGTTACATATTTAAATAAATATGACACCATGAAATAAAAGAATGACAGAAATGAGTGCACTTTAAAGGAACAGTTCACCACTGAAATCAAAAACATATTTTTCATCTTACCTATAGCGCTATTTATCAGTCTAGATTGTTTGGTGTGAGTTGCTGAGTGTAGTAGATATCGGCTGTCGAGATGGCTGCCTTCTTTTGAGTATGATTGAACTAGATAATACTTGGTTGTGGTGCTCAAAGTGCAGAAGGAAGTTTGCCTTCATCTTGTTACAGCTCAGCCAAGTAGGACGCCATTTGTGTTTGCAACTCATGCTGTTACAAGCACAAGTCTCTCATTCATGATTAGCTGCTCACTTCCTTGTGTGTGGTGATATGGTTGGTGGGTGTTGTTCAGTAGACAGAAAATAGTTCCTACATGAAACTGCTCCCAACAAGGTCTGTGGATTATCTTGAGCAACTGGGTCATGTGTCTGAAGAAAAAAAAAAACATTGCTGTTGAGTTTTTCAAATGTATTTTTTTGGTGAGCACCACAAGCCAAGTGCCATCTAGTTCCATTATACTTGAGAGAAGGCAGACATCTCTATGGCTGATATCTCCAACACACTGCAACTCACACAAAAATAATCTAGGCTGTGAGCAGCTTGGTTGCTTTGTTCATATCATTATATCATACTGTTATGTTACACAGGGTTTTTTAAATCCCAGGGTTTGCAAATGAATTCTTAATTGGTCACGTTTGCACTAATAAGTCGTTCAATCTTCATCCATCCATTTTCATCCGCTTATCCGTGGCTGGGTCATAGGGTCAGCAGGCCAAGCAAAGCACCCCAAACATCCATCTTTCCAGCTCCTCCTTGGGGACCCCAAGGTGTTCCCAGGCCAGATAAGATATGTAATCCCTCCAGTGTGTTCTGGGTCTGCCCCCGGGACCTCCTACCAGTTGGACGTGCCTGGAATACCTCTAATGGAAAGCGCCCAGGAGGCATCCTGATCAGATGTCCAAATTACCTCAACTGACCCCTTTCGACGCAAAGGAGCAGCGGCTCTACTCCGAGCTCCCTCCGGATGTCTGAGCTCCTCACCCTATCTCTAAAGCTGAGCCCAGCCACCCTTCTGGGGAAACTAATTTCAGCCGCTTGTGTCCGCGATCTTGTTCTTTCGGTCACTACACAGAGCTCATGACCATAGGTGTGGGTTGGGATGTAGATGGACCAGTAAATTGAAAGCTTCGCCTTCCCTCTTGACCACAATGGTCCAGTGCAGTGCCCACATCACAGCAGAAGCCGCACCAAACCGCCGATCCATCTCACACTCCATACTACCCTCACTCATAAACAAGACCCAGAGATACTTGAACTCCCTTGCTTGAGGCAGTAACCCTTTCCCTACCCAGATACATTAAACAGTCTATTTAAATCTTTTCTTGATTTTGCAGGGCTTAAGGATCTAATGGTGGCAGGTTGTTCCTGGTCATCTATTTCAGCTCTCTGCTCCTCTGGTTGCCCTCTCCTCCGTTCTCTGGACCTGCGATATGCAGACGGGGTCAAAGACTCTCAGATCAGGGATCTAGTCACCCCTCCAGGTGTGGAAAGCATAGCCTCATAAACTCTAGCCTCTTTCTCTACTTTATACCCCATGCCTTTCCTTTCATTTTACTTCAGTCTGTATCAAACTTTTTTAACTTTTTCTTCCCACATAATTCCTCTGTTCCAGGTTGTGACAATCGCAGTCAGTTGCGGACCATGCAGTGTTTGCGACTAGCAGGCCTGGACATCACCGACTCCACTCTGCGCCTGGTGATCCGCCACATGCCCCATTTAACAAAACTGGACCTCTCCCACTGCAATAGCCTCACCGACCAGTCCATCAACCTGCTGACTGCAGTGGGCTCGTCCACACGAAACACACTCGCAGAACTAAACCTGGGAGGTGAGAGAATGATGGGGATAGCTAATATACTAGACAGAGCTATTTTTCAAGGAGATTGAACATGCACACACAGGTTGCATTTGTTTTATTTCACTAACAATCATGTGTTTGTGCACTTGTGTCTTTCCCAGGTTGCAGTAAACTGACAGACACGTGTCTCAAATATCTCCGCCGCCTCTCTTGCATCTCGCTGCTCGACCTGCGAGGCTGTAAAGGTGTCTCCCGCAAGGCCTGCGAGGCCTTCATCTCCGAGCTGTCAGTCAACACACTCTACTGCCTATCAGATGAAAAACTGATCCAGAGGATATCCTAAGCGCCTGCCTCGTCTGACTGCAGAGGCATTTTAAAGGCGCAAAGGCAACAGAGTGGATCCTGATGTGAATCTGTGTGACACAAAGGACTAAGACAAGCAGGGAAGTTCACATGCACCTGTATGTACCTGTTAAAGGAGGGGTGGGGTCTAACCTTGGAGTGCTTACTCACTGAACTGGTGTTGGTGTAAGGGGTTGTCACAGCTGGAACAATGTTTTGTTTCAACTTTCTATACATTTTTTCTGTGTACCCTGAAGGGAGATTCAGCTTTCATTATTTTTCAGTTTTTTGGGGAAGCATTGTGGTGTGGGAAAAGCAAAACTGCTTTCTGTTTTTTTAGTCAGGAGTGGGAGGACATGGGCGATTAATTATCTGTATCAGACTGCACATCCTTTGGATAATTAAGTGCTCAACTCTTCTGTGGACAGACGCCAATCACGACTCCCAGTCACAAACTCCTGCCTTGAGAAAGACACGAGTTTCATCTTTGGGGTATGACTGCATTACGTTTGGCTGATCTCTATAAAGTCTTATTTAACATATGATTTCATTCATTTGATATCAGCTATGTTTGGGTGCTCTAAATAGATGGTTATTTTTTGTAAGATTCAGAGAGCAAATTTTTTAGAAGTGTGAAGACATCTGCTTTATGCACAGCAACTATGCGTTAAGATTTTTTTTTTTTTTAAAAGACGACTAAAGGTGACAGGTCTTTGACATTATGACTTATAAAGTGAGTGACTGGAATGGCCTGCGTTTACCAGTTGTATGTTTAGCTTAATAAGGCATTTGGATGCAACAGCAGTCCAGTGGTATACACGAGAAGTATACACGGACATTGAGTGGATGTGGTTGTATGAAAGGGTAAAAAAAGACAGTGTGAGAAGGCAATCGACATGGCAGCAACACCTCACCCCGATAAAGGGCAGGTTGCATTAAGCATTCGGGGTAAGCCAAGGGTTAGGTGTCAGATAAATGGTGCATTTTCAAACAACCGTTAGACTTCAGGTGCTATTATTTCCAAACTCCTTTTGCTTTGTTTTTGTACAGAGACAACATTTAGAGCAAAAATGTTAATATTCTAGATGAAACTTGCTGCCCACCCCCTCTTTGATACACTTTTATTTCATGGATGAAAAAAATGTGAGTATCCACTTTTCTCTCAACTTCATGACCTTGTCCGATTCAATGTAGATTTTGTTTTTTGGGGGGTGCTCGGGTTGCCCATTTCTTTGTTCCCCTTAAAAAGTGTAGTGGTTCTGTATCAAAGGTCTCCTCCCAGACTCCTCTCCCGGCCATATCCCTTCAAAATGAATATAAGTATATAAATATATACTTTTGTGTAAATGTGTTTTCCTCCTTTTTTCGATTATCAGAACGGGAGTCCGGTAGCATTGTAATTATTTTCAGAAGCCTTTTTCACTTTATGTTATTTGTGTTATTTTTCAAGAAAAAATAAAAAGCTGACAAACAAGCGGTCGCATTCTCACTGGAAATGAGATGTGCATCCTGTTAACAATGTATTATCAGCTTCACGGCTCCACCCAGCTCCTCTCCATAACCTGGAAATAAAGCGACGCCTGAATAAATAAATAAATAAATAAACAAGGCAGCTGCGTCTGTAAATAGACTTCACAGTAGCGACGCTGCACGAGCGCAGCAGAGTCTGACAGATGTTGTCCGCTGTTTAATGATCGTTAGCCAGGCGGGGCTGAGTGCTATCGGCAGCAGCTGTCACCTCCATGATATCGGATGCCCTCGACTGGACTGACCTGGATGTGAAACTGGAATAAAGGCCGTATCTCGCTTTATTTTGACACACCGTAACAACCCTGCGATATAAACAGGGGGTGGCTGCAGTAACAGCGGGGTAGCTAGCTAACTTTATCAGCCGGCGATTTCAACCGTGTTTTTTTCCACTTCATATCATTTTCCTTCGTGGGAAAAAATGAACGGACTTTGGAGGTGTATTTCTGCCCGGCTAAATTAGTCGTCTTGCTTTCTGAATAATGGAAAACAGGTGCCAAGAGGAGCAGGAAACAATGTTGTTATTAGCCAGTTAGCTAACGTTAGCTAAGCTAGCTGTTAGTTAACGTTAACTACATCAAATTAGTGGGCTGAGTTAGCCGAGCCTAACTCAGCCCACTAATTTAAATAGGCACGTTATTCTACTTTATTTGCTGCCTACTGTTATCTTATTTGATAGATTTGCTTAGCGACAGTTTTTTCCAGTGAGACACTTTTCAGCGTTTGCCCGTTTTCTGCTGTTAACTAAGCTAGCTAGCAAGCTAACCAGTTGTGCCGATCAGCGCTGAGCTGAACTCGTTGCTAGTCTGCCGTTGGTGTCACTGCAATCTGTTGGCTGCACAAGTCAAATTGCAAATATAGCTTTACTACTGTTTTAACTGTCAAGCAGACGACAACCATGGCTCAAGAAGCGTTTCCGTTGCATTTTCTGGTGTGGAACAATCAGTATCTGGAGCTGGATCGAGAGCTGCAGAAGAAGGAGGTGAGTGAGGAGGGTTTATTTCGCAGCTGCTGGCGGGTGATGTGTTTTACAGATGCGTTTGTCAGGTCGCACTGCATTGCGCTGATGCTGCCTGTGTGTGTTTTGGTTCCTGCAGCAGGATGTGGAGCGCCTGGATCCGAGAGGGCGCACCCCGCTGGAGCTGGCTGTGTGTCTGGGCCACCTGGAGTCCACCCGGGTGCTGCTCAGACACACCGCAGACCCGACACACAACAACGCGCAGGGCTGGACCAGTGAGTGCTCTCTGCTTGTGGCTCCCACTCCCACTGTCATGTCCCGAGGCTGCTGAGGGAGTCAAGGCGCACCTGATGGCATTAAATGTGGATGTGTGTTTCAGTCTTGCAGGAGGCCGTGAGCACCGGGGACCCTGAGCTGGTTCAGCTGGTGCTTCAGTACAGAGACTTCAAACGTGCCACTGAGAGATTGGCGGGCATCCCAGAGCTGCTCAGCAAGCTAAGACAGGTAAAACTGCACTGTCTAACATTTGAGCAAAAAATGTACGCCTCCAGGTATTAAACTACCTGTTGCACAGAGCAGCACACCAACCACACCTTAAAGCTTTGTTAAATATTTATAGAAAGTATTGTTTTTAGTTTAGGCTCCTGTGTCAGTGCATCTTTTTCATTCTCTGGATGGTTCACAAGTCTCAAGCTTGACTGAATCAGGATGCACAAACACAAAGCTGACATGGAGCTTTTGCTTTTGTGTGAGTACAAAAAGTTTCCCTGCTGTTTTGCCAGGCAAGGGACTTCTATGTGGAGATGAAGTGGGAGTTCACCAGTTGGGGTGAGTGTGTTTCATTAATGTGTTTTCACAGAGGTCAGCTTCAGCACCACAGTAGTTGGACAGCTCCACTCAGCAGCAGCTGTCAGTCAGTCACTTTCAGTTTCCTAAACACAAGACAGGGCAGGTATACCTACATCAAATTACTGCTTTTTCTTTCTAAAGTTTTGCTTGTTATGTATTTAACAAGACTAATCAGTAATGTACTGTGTTTTTGTGTGTTGGGATTACTTTGCCTTCTTAATCTGCAGCAGATGCTCAAGTAAACAGTTAATTATATTTTGCATCTTAAAAGTTAAGTACCATTATCATTCAGTATTTACAAGACAGATCATAATTTATGTAATGTCAGTGCATCTTACTTTGTATTTTTGACAAAAACAAGTAAATTAGAGAAAAAAAGCATTTTTTAATGAAGCAGTCTAGACATAGTTGACATATAAATAAATTATGTTAAAGATAATTTTAGTGCATCTTTAAGAAAATAGTTTTCTCGCTCTTATCTGTTTTGAATCATTACACTTTGTGTGTCTTAGATTTTAGTCGGAACGCAAAGAGAAATTTAAACGCCATTACGTTTACGAAATTGTAATGATCATTTGTATATATTAACAGTGAATTAATCTATGATGAAAACACTGAGTAGTTGCAGCCATGGCTGGGTATTGGTACTTGATACCTTTTAAGGCACTGACCGAAATGACCCAGTACCAAGAAGTATCAAAACTTCTTTAGACAAACAATGCCTGCATGCAAGCCATCCTGTACCCATTTCTATATTTGTGTGGCTTTCTCAAAGCTGATCACCAAAAACATTTTCAATTTAGTGCAACGTGTTACTGGCCCACTACTGCAGCAGCTACAGCCCATACAGTCTGTGTTGTGGTGAAGTTGAGCACAGTGTATTTGGCAAGAATTGAAAGTTTAGCATGCTGTGATACAGAGCTGCATCGATTAATGAACTACTTGTCAACTATTAAATTAAATCGGCATCTGATTTTGAGTAATTTTTTTTTAAAGAAAAAAAAAGTCAAAATGCTTTGATTCCAGCTTCTTTAATGTGAATATATTCTGGTTTCTTTACTCCTATATGACAGTGTACTGAATATCTTTGGATCGTGATAGCTGTAGCACTTTGTAACAAGCTATATTTAGAAAAAATGACAGAAAACATCTCTACCTGCAAATCTGCTTTTCTTTTCACCGTCCTTTGACTGTCCTCTGTTTGGTTACATCATTCTGTTTGCCTTTTGTTTCTAAGCTTCTTCTCCTCTTCTTTGATTGTCCTCTCAGTGCCCTTGGTGTCGAAGGTGTGTCCTAGTGATGTCTACCGGGTGTGGAAGAGCGGCTCGTGCCTCCGTGTGGACACCACCCTCCTGGGCTTCGAACACATGACCTGGCTGAAAGGACGGCGCAGCTATATCTTCAAGGGCGGAGGTGTGTGTGCTTAGAACAGTATCACATACACACAAGTAAATGAACAGCTGACATTGATGGATTGATGATTTTGTCGTAAACACTTGACTTGGATTCACCCTTAAAGATGTAGGAACAATTCTCCAAGAGAATTAAATGTGTCTTCATTGTGTGCTCCTCTTAGATGACGGTGCTGTGGTGATGGAGGTGGACCATGAGAAGCAGGTGGTGTACACAGAGCCACTTGTGTTGTCTCCCCGCGATGCGCCCTCCCTCCTGGCAGCCATGCAGCCGTCGCAGGAGAACACAGCCCAGAGACTCACATCGCCCATCGTCTCCACACACCTCAACACACGCAACATTGCCTTCGAACGGTATTAAGCGCACCATGTGCACACATCTACAAACTAGAATCATTTCATCATGATCACGCTTGTTTGTTTGTGTTGTACAGATATCTGCCTCACTGTTCCTCATTATGTGTCCACGTACATACATCATGTCCCCACATTTAACAGTACACAGACACTGATAACCTCTGTGCCAGGAGCTCTTACTCTTTGTCCTTGCCTTTTAGGAACAAGTCAGGAATCTGGGGCTGGCGTTCTGAGAAGAGTGAGGTGGTCAGTGGGTATGAAGCCAAGGTAAGTGACCACTGAGCCAACATAGTCTGAACAATGGCTGAAACACATTATTCAGGTCATCTAGAAGATAATTCGGTATGATGTTGTGATCAACAACTATTCAGCATTGCCTGAAAGATCAATTAGGGGTAAAACAAACATATATATTTTATCCATTCCAAAAATTTTCTAAAAAAAACTGTTTTAAAATGTTTTGGCACATGCAGCAAATGGTCGTGAGCTGGAGTCGAACCCACGACTGCTGCAGCGAGGCATTGCCTCTGTATATGGGGAGCCGGCACTATCCACTACGCTACCGACGCCCCATGATGTATGATTCAGGAGGATTCCTTGGTCTGGGATTGATTAGGGAAAATCTAATTTCCCTCCCCAATGGAAATTGGTTAGAGTGGGTGTAATGTCAGACTCGAAATGAAAATGAAGTGCAAGAAGTTGACAGTTCTGTATGATATCAGGCAACAAAGTCACAGTGACCTTACAAAACAGGTTTTTGGCCATTTTATGTAAACTGCGACTTTACTGGTTGGTGGAGGCAAACAGCTGCAAGGTGCTAATTATAGTTTACTTAGGTTGTTGAAATTGAAAATTATTTTTACGAGAGATGTAGACAAGACAATAGTGTGGAAAAACACAGTCACAATATGCTGTTTGCTCTGATAAAGATAGACCAGAAGAGACTCTTCTACCTGACACTACAATAACCCAAACAAATGTTTCAACAAAAGGCTTACAAAGTGTAATCAAGAGTGTTTTTTTCTTTTGTTTGACATTGTGTCCAGGTTTACAGTGCCACCAATGTGGAGCTGGTGACTCGTTCAAGGACAGAGCATCTATCAGACCAGGATAAGTCAAGAAGCAAAGGTGATTATACGCCCAAGCACACACACAGCTACACCCACACATTAAATCCTTGTTGTGCACTTGTGATGGGGACACAGTATTGTGTCAAAATTACTGTTATTTAACCAAAAACATAAGACCAGAGAGGTCAGACTGAGCCTCTGAAAATTTAAAGATAATGTGAAAAATGAGATAATAACGAAACACAGTCGATCACTGTTTAGTTCTTAGTGACTCGTAGTACAAAGATGTGTTCCCCTCAGT